ATGTGGGGGCCCTATTTTGAGGGTCACTGATCCGAGCGTCTGAAGTAAGAGTTGTGCTAGATGGTGTTTCTAGAAATACAATGTAAAGCATAGAGAATTTAGCTGGTCCACAAACACACACACACACACACACACACACACACACAGACAAATCAGAGTTTGTTTTTTTTATTACATTTTGATGGTATGCTCTCAGTACAAATTTTTCATCTATCAATTTTTATTACTAAGAGTTAATATTTAGCTTAGGTATTTGACAGTCAGACAACAGTTCCTGTGTGTGACAAAGGCATGTTTGCTATGTGCTTGCCAAAATTATTTCCTTTTCTTCCCGGATGCGTTCATAAAACCACATTTCCTGACCCCTTCGCAGTTAGGTTAGACCGTGTGACTGATTTCTCCTAACATGGATAGTGGGTAGGAGGGTTGCAAACCGTTTCAGGCTTGGCCAAATCTCCTTTCAAGAACTGCCTTTTTTCTTAGGTGCACAGGATCTAGTGAAGGACCCTGAGAGGTGGAGGGGCCTGCTTAGCCACTAGACCACAGCCTGGGTCCGAGTCACTTGGAGAAGGGACACCCAGGATTGCCCCTCAGGTGGGGAACCGTTTAGAGAGAGGTGAGAGAGTGTGCCAGGGGGTCTCGCGCGGTGCTTTCATCGCACCACGGCCCTGAGGTTTGCGGGTTTGTTTCTTCTGTGTAGCTTAGTGTGCCCTGATATGGCACTGAGTAACACAAAACACGTATTTGTGAGTTGAACGAATGATCGTTACAAATACAACTTTTATCCTCTATGTCTAACACTCGGCCTGTAAATGGTCTTCTCGACGACACTCATTTCTGCAACAAATACTTACCTATAGGCTATTGCGTGCCAAGCAAAAGAATGCTTTCTGTGCCCTCGTGAAATTTACAGTCTTGTTAGGAACAGATATAAATCAAACAAATGTAAAATTCCAACTATTGTGAATGGTGTGCACACGTGAAACCTGGCACTAGGAGACTTTTTGTTTTGTTTTGTTTTTACTAGTTAGGAATACTTGTGGAGGGCTTTAAAGGTATAATTACCATCAGGGTTAAAATGAATTAAAAATACAACCAACTTTGGATGTGATGAAGCATAATACAAATCTGAATACAACTAAGAGTCAGTGGGTTTTATTTTTAAATCTTTTCATTGAATAGTTTTAACTACCAAATGGGATTTGTTCCATATTCGAGTTATCTAAACTTTAAAAAAAAAATTTGCACCCTGGCTGGCGTAGGTCAGTGGATTGAGCTCAGGCTGCGAACCAAAGTGTCGCAGGTTCAATTCCCAGTCAGGGCACATGCCTGGGTTGCAGGACCACGGCCCCCAACAACCGCACATTGATGTTTCTCTCTTTCTCCCTCCCTTCCCTCTCTAAAAATAAATAAATAAAATCTTTAAAAAATTTTTAATCCTTACCCAAGGATATGTTTATTGATTTTATTTTTTAAAAAATATTTTATTCATTTTTAGAGAGAAGGGAAGGGAGAAAGAGAGGGAGAGAAGCATCAATGTGTGGTTGCCTCCTGCGTGCCCCCAACTGGGGATCTGGCCTGCAACCCAGGCATGAGCCCTTAGTGGGAATTCAACCAGCGACACTTTGGTTCTCAGGCAGGCACTGAATCCACTGAACCACACCAGCCGGGGCTGTTTATTGATTTGAGAGAGAAGGGGAGAGAAAGAGGGAGAAAGAAAAACGTTGACTGGTTGCCTCCCATGTGTGCCCTGATCAGGGATCAAACCCACATTTTGGTGTATGGGATGATGCTCCAACCAGCTGAGCCACTTGGCCAGAGCGATAGTTATCTAAACTTTTAAAATGCATGTGTAAAGATGAGTATGAAACTCTTCAACTTACTAACCAGTTATTAGCTCCCCAGGGACTTGCAAAAGTCTTTTACTCCTTTTTTTTAAAAAAATCTCTTTGTAATTTTCTCTATTAGCAGTAGGTTCTTAGGGTATTGGTAAAACTTTCCTGCTGGACCAGAGTTTTACACTCATTCAATACAAGGCAAATCAAATCAAATCACTAAATACCTTCTTTAATTGGAACTTGTTATGCTGGTAACCATTATGGTCTTTCAAACCATTCTCTGCTTACCAAGTAACTGTTGGTTTCAGTAAGCTTATACACAGGATGCAAGAATTTTAGACTTGTATCAATTGCTTTGTCTTTCCATTCTCACATATATGTGTGTGTGTCTATATATATGTATACATATATATGTATACACATATACATATACGTATATACACACATCTATAAATATATACCTATATATATTTCACTGGTATATCTCATATATATATATTATATCCCCACATACACATGATGTATACACAGGGATGGACCAAAGTACATTTGCAGTTATAAGTAGGCAAAACACAAAGTTTATTCTTATATTATTTATTAATTATTGCATTATTTCCCACCCCTGTACATCTATACAATGAGGTCTGTCCAGAAGGTCTCCAGTCATGTAATATGAAAAACAGAGACATTTATTGAAGATACAAGAAATACTGTACATAGGACAATGACATCTCAGTCCCTTTCAAAGTAGGCATCTTGGGACCTCACACAGTTCTCCCAGGCGCCATCAGCTGCCCCATCGCATTTGCCTGAATCTCACTGATGGTCTGAAATCTCTTTCCTTTCAAAGGTGATTTTAGTTTTAGGAAAAGCCAAAAGTCACAGGGCACCAAATCTGGGCTGTAGGGGGGCTGAGTCACCTGGGTGACCTGATGTTTCACCCAAAACTCTGCACTAGACATGACACATGAGCAGAAATGTTGTTGGTGAAGCTGCCAATCACCAGTTGCCCATAGCTGAGGCCTTCTGAATCATCTGAATAATTTCTGCAGAGGAATGTTAAAGCTTAATGCACAATTCGATGCAGATTCATTGCTCTACTTCATTTTGAATTTGCTGGCCACACAGTACACTCAATAGCTTCTACCCTCCCACTGACTAGTACAGTCAAGTTCTCATTATTCACGCATATGCATTCCAGTCCAGTCTCCTTGGCTGCCAGGTTACATCAATGTCTCCCAAATTGTTGTCGTTATATTCACAATGGCTGGACTTTTTCTGGACAGACCCTCATCCCATATTCTTCGTTTCTGTTTAAAAGCTTGATTCTCATACTTCATAGAGTGATGAAAATCATTACATAAATGACATTAGACATATGAAATGAAGACAAAGTATTTGTTTCTGTAGTTTGTACAAAAAACACCAGCTGCTATTATTTTTTACATACAGCACACTTAGGCGTTTTCAAAATGTGGGGGTCCCAGCAGGCTGGCCACTGGACATACAGACCAGACCATGCTCTGCTACCAAAATACTAAGTCACAGGAATAGGCTGATAATTTATTTAATACAGTCCATCTTAGAGAAATTATCAGATTTTAAACCTGCACACACCCTAGAAATTTAATACAAACGTCCCAGGAAGGAAACTAAAGTCAAAAAAGGTAAAATAATTTTGCCCACTACAATTACTTAGTTCTGGTCCCAGACCTACAACCCAGGTCTCCTACACTGGGTCCGCTTTCTCTGCACCAGTTTGTGCCCCGCAACTGAAGATTAGGCTGGATTGTCTTTAGGGCTTCCCACTCTGCTCTTCCTCCAGGGTTGGAGTGTCTGGATGCGATAGGGCTAATTCAGATCAAGTTGGCTTCTGTTGCATTCCTGATTCTTTTGTTTTCACTGTTCTTTTATTATCAGCATCGATGAGTTTCTGTTTCATATAAAAGACACACTCATTTAATAACACTAGCAAGAAATTTAACTCACACCAAAACTGATAGGTTCGGGATACAGGACACAGCCTTTTCCAGCCAGGAAAATGTGAAGGGGACACCCTGCGTCCGCTGGCCACGTGCAGGAGGAGGGGCCGCCTTTTGGTTGGTGCCTGGTGGGGGTAAGTCCATCCAATCGGCGTGGGCCCCGCGATGGAGGAGGGAGAGCACCCTGGGGGAGGGCGGGACCAGCCACCTGTCTATCACCGAGTCCGCGGGAGGTTGCACCTACCAAACGGCGGTACCTAGAAAAGACGGGACCGGGGCGGGAAAGCCACGGCTGGGGGAGGTGGGGCCACGCCGGCAGGAGCCAATCCGCTGGGTCGCACGAGGAGACGGGGGCGGGGTCACCGCGCGCGACCCAAACACCAGGGCCCGGGCTCACCCTGGAGCACCGCTGCCCCTCGGCCTTCCGGTGCCAGGGCCCAGCAACCTCCTCTCCTACTGGACCACCCCCACCTTCGCGGTCCAGTCTGCCCCCCGCCCCTCCTTCGCGGGGGCAGAGCGCCGGCGGTTGCCGGGAAGCGCGCGCACCTCCTCCCTCCCCTTCTTCGTCCTCCCCTCACGTGCCACTCGTTTTTCCTTTTTCTCCGTTAATAACAGCTGGGTGGCTGGGGGAGGAGGGAAGGTGGCCCCGGCGGAGTCTGGGCGGGCACCTCCCACTCACTCGCGAGCCGCCGTGGGAGCAGGAGGATGGCGGCGGTAGCAGCGGCCGCCCGGGAGGAGGCGGTGCCGAGGCCCGGGGCGCAGAGCGCGGCGGTGGCGGCAGAGAGCGGCAGCAGCCCGTCGCGGCGCCGCAGAACCGAAACCAGCGGCTGCCGCACGGCCACCTGAGCCGCCCCTCCCGCCGGAGCCAGTGAGGGGCGCCCGCCGGAGCCCGGACCTCCTTCCTACCGCCTCTCCGCGTCTCTCGCGCCCCTCGACCCCAGAAGAAGAGCGCGCCGGGTGTCGACCGCCCCTCGGGGCGCCGGGCGGCGGCCCTGGACGTACGGGTTTCCCCCTGGGCCGGCCGCGGCGCCTCGGCCCTGCCCTCTAGCTCCCGCGCTCTCTCCCGCCCTCCGGGCGCCGCGCGTGGGCCCGGCCCGGGGCAGGTCGGACATGGGCGCCAAGCAGAGCGGCCCGGCCGCTGCTAACGGCCGCACCCGCGCGTACTCGGGCTCGGATTTACCTTCCAGCAGCAGCGGAGGGGCCAATGGGACCGCGGGCGGCGGCGGCGGCGGCGGGGCACGGGCCGCGGCCGCCGGAAGGTTTCCTGCTCAGGTGCCCGGGGCGCACCAGCCTAGTTCCTCGGGCGGAGCCGCGGCGGCCTCGGCCGCCCCTCGCAGCCGCTCCCTCGGCGGCGCCGTGGGGACCGTGGCGTCGGGGGCCCGGGCCGCGCAGTCCTCTTTCAGCATCCCCAATAGCAGCAGCGGCCAGTACGGCTCGCAGGACTCGGTGCACAGCAGCCCGGAGGACGGCAGTGGCGGCGGCGGCGGCGGCGGCGGCAGGGACCGGCCGGCCGGAGGGGGCCCGGGCGGGCCTCGCCTGGTGATCGGCTCCTTACCAGCTCACCTCTCGCCGCACTTGTTTGGAGGTACGGCCCCCTCCCTCCCTGGCTTCCTAGCTCCCTGGCTCCCACGGGCGGCACGTGGGCCGCAGCTGCATTTATTTTTACCCTTCTCCTTTTCTCCTTCAGTCTGAGCGCCGGGGCTTGGCCGCGCTGCCCGGCTCAGTCACCCCTCCCGGGAGGAAAATCGCCACTTAACCCCCGGGACGCCGCTGCGGCCAGAACCTAGTGTTTGTTTTTCTTAAACGTGTGCACCCTTATCTCTGAGCGTCTCCCCAGGACAGAAAGCCCTTGTTTTCCCCGCGAGATGAGAAGAGCAAATATTATTTTAAAACAAACTGACGCAGCAGCCCTGGTGCTTTGTGGCTTTTAGTATCAGGAAGTCAGGAGACCCGTTGCTAAATGGAGTTCTATCTTGGGACTCGAATGAGTGGTGAGCAGTGTTTAAAGGCCACAAGTCGGAGGGTCTCAAACAATGAGTGTCTGAAAACGGAGGGAGTGATCTCCTTTGGACTGATTGTTAATGTATAACTAATTGGTAAGTCTGTGCAAATAGTCCCACCTACTACGCACACTTAATCGGATGAATGCGTTAATGGAAAGTGTATTTTTAACCCCAGTAAACTGCTACCTTAGATAATGGTTAATATGAGTCCTGCTTAATTTGGACAGCGTTTGAAACATTGAAAACAGTTTAAGGAGACGAACTAGTAATTGTCACAACTCCTCCTACAAGGTGCAATTGAAAGCCTAGGAGCATTTAGAAAGCAGTGTCGACTTGCGTTCAGGAAAAGTCACTTGTGAGGAATGGAAATTTTTGGTAGCAAAGTGATGTGCTTTTATGTAGAAACAGGAGGAAGGGTGCACTCGATTTGAGGAAAATGAATTTGACCTCTTTAGTTATGTTTTATAGTGATCTCTACCCTCAAAAAACAGTTACAGTAGATGAATCAAGACGCCCTCTCTTCCAAGTTCATGGGGGAAAAATAGAAGTTAAATGTGGTTAGAGATACTGACTGAAGATAAACATTTTCATATCATTGCATATGTATCTTGATATACATTCACAGTTGAGCACAGGTAAACAGCACACAACATCCCCTCCATTTCTGTGCCCCCCTTTACTCAGTGTTTATAGACGTGAGAAATTTGAGGAAGTTGGTAAAGTGGGATGTTCAATAATGCAGTTTTTCTGTGTTGATGTTCTGTACTATCAACCTTCATGTTAGCATAAATTAAAAATGGGAATGTCTAGGTTTTTTCCATCTTTGTAATACTGCTTGCACATTCACTATAGAACAATTCTTAATTACTTTTTATAAAGTCATTTTGCTATGTAAATAAAATTAACGTTTCTTAAAACTGGGCCATTAAAAAAATCCTTGGTTTTTGAGAAAAAGAGTTTTTTCCTAGTGTTTACCTTCCTGTGAATTGATTATAATTAACACAGTTACAGGTGCTGTAGTCACCACATTGAGGAATAACAAAAGACAGTTTCTTGAGAATGGGAAATCGGTGTAATAATACAAGATAAGCTGGTTTTTAAAAAATACTTTTTGGAATAAAAATTTACGTTTAGCAGTTATGGTCATCAAAAGATAGTGTGTTTGAAAGCTTGCTAAAGAAAGGGAAATAGACAAAGGCTTGTCAAAGTAATAGTTCTTACATCCTTAGTATATCTGACTGTCTTTATTCTTTTCGTAAAGAGTTGCTATTCTGTAACAATATCTCTATGAGTTTGTTTTCTTAAAATAAATACAGTTCCATTCAGAACAGAGGACAAACATAGTTGACACCCATGCTGTTAATTCGCAGTAAACAGCAAATGGAAAGGACCTGGTTGCTGCAAGTTAGGGAGGGAGAGCACTCATCTCTTCTTTTACCCGGGTTCCTGGATTTGTGCACTAGGTTCTTTAGTCCTTTCGGGGTTGGGGTGCTGGGGCCGAGCAGCAGGACAGTGACCGTGAGGAACTAACTTGGCGCAGTGTTTCTCAACCGGAGCTCTGCAGAGCCCTGGGCCCTGGTGGCCCGAGGCATCTGTTGTGTGCAGTTCACGTGTTCTCCTGTGTCTTCTCCAGTTTAGAAGGAGTCTTGGAAAATTGGAGTGATCTGTGTTCAGTGGTTCAGATGAGGGACCCCAGGTGAGAAAGGCTGGAAGAGGATCAGAGAAGTTACCTGTTCTGTTACACAGTGGGCGTAGATCAAAGTGCCTGTACCTGAAATCCTCGTTGAGACAGGAAGATAGAAAACACGTGTAAAAACACATCTTTCTAGTGGCGTGCACTTCAGTGAATGCTTTCTTAGGGAAACTTTACAGAAGTATGCTTCTCACCACTTGAGATTTAGGGACCCAGATGATGATTCTTAATTATTTTAGAAATTAGACTTACCTACACTTCATTGACTTAATTTTTAGTATGTATTATAGTATTAATGTGTTTATTCAGTTATAAATTGTACAAATGTAACTCCATCTGAATCAAGAGAAAAGGGATATTTCTGAATTAGTGGAAATTTATTACTGTAATTTTGTAAAAATAGATTTTATTGATATCTCCTAATAAGAAAATAGGGTACTCATAAGATTCAAAATTATCCTCTTATGGGCTGTCATGTAATTTATAGGAAAGGAAAACCTAACCTAGTACCACTTTTTTTTTTTTTTTGAAGGAGCCTAGCAAGGTGAATTGTTGCTAGTTCTCTCAGAATGAATTCCCAAACGGAATGACATTTCCGTGCTGCTGTGCTTTGCTCTCTCTGGGACACGCACTGTGGCTGTATGCGCTCCTCTCTCCAGAGAGAACCCACACGGAGGCGCGCGCTCCGGGTGTTTCAGTTTGCAGGAAGTTCCCAGAACCACGTTGTTGGGTAACAGAATGCCATTGCAATAATGCAGGAGTTCTTAGGTGAGGTGGGATTTTCTTGTTTTTGTTACTTTCAGGCAGCTGAGTGTAATACTATTAAAGGAAACAAAAGCCTTGCCTGTCACTTTTGTTTGGAAACAGGTCTTAAGGGGGGTAGAGTTTAATGTTTAAAAGTGCAGTGGTATCTCACAGAGGATTTTCTTGGACTTGGGTCTGCATTTTCTCCCCTGTCAAGTTGTTAATGTTCATAAAAGTCATTAATATGGATGGTCATGACCCACTCTTCAATGATCCAGCAAGGATGGGGGAGGTAAGTTAGACTATAAAAGTGCACCCGTGAGCGGAGTGTACATCTAGAGAAATTGTGTGGGCTGAGGCAGTCTCCATGAGTCTGGGAGTGAAAACGTAAAGTGAATTAATTTATCTAGACAATTAACCGGTGGTACTGGATTGCTGTTGACCTCCTCCCGATTGGCCAGAGTTGGTTTGGGTGTGGTGCGCCCCTGAGTATTCCAGTAGGCTGATGGCAATTCACTCAGGTGCCTCTCGTTCCTTAAGAAACATGCTTCCCTGTATCGAAGGAGTGTGGGTTAGCACTTATAACTGAGAGTGTTAAATAGCATCTGTATTTCTAGGCAGGTTTATTTTTCTTAGTTTTCAAGGCAGATGTAGATTTATTGTGATCTACTTCCTATTCCTGAGTGTTCTTTTATTCAGTTGAGGACTTCTGTGGGGTGTGGCAGAAGAAAATGACACTTCCAACCACAACTCCTCTTACCCCCCACAAAACAAGAACTCTGGAGTTGTTTCTCACTTGTGAGCCCATAGACTTGGACACTGTAGGAGACGCCTTCCGTTGTATGTTTGTCAGGCACACAAATAAAGTGTGGGCTCTGTCGTGGCAGTTTCTGCTTGGGGAATGTTTTGAGAGTTCTCTTGACTGTGCAAGGTGGACAGTGGGCTGGAGCGGTTTGTGTTGCCCTGGGCGTCATCTGCTCCGAGAGCCGCCTGAGCCCGGGACTTTGGGTGCTGTGCTGGCTGCTAAGCCAGGAAGCTCGGCCGTTGTGCCAACAGGTAGTGGCGCCAGCAAGGCCTCCGTCCCCTCCAATTTGATTGTTTTGCCTGGTAACCAGTGAGTAGGTTCTTACTGATTTTCTGGTTACCAGTACCATTAATTAGTCACCGGCTTTTTCATATTCATCATTTATCTAGTATCTATAAGGAGAATTGCTTTAATGTTATACTTATTTCATATACAGGGTATATGTATAGTTGACTCTTAGCAAATGGGTTAAAAGAGAAGTATAGGAACTGCTTTATGTAGCAAAGTACTTCCTAAATGTTTTAATTTTGCAAGTACTTGACTGGTATTAACTAATGAATTAAGTTGGTTTTATACTAATTGAACTGTTTAGAATTGGGGAAAACATGCTGTTTGTGTGAACAAAAGGTTCAGAAATAACTTTAGATTCTGATTTATGTTGGTTTGTGTGCTGCTTATTAACAAATGACTACAAAATTACCTTCCTAAAATAGCATGTATTTATTATCTCACAGTTGCTGTGAGTCAGGAGTCTGGGAGCAGCTTAACTCGAGTAACTGGGTTGTTACCCGGAGACTCGGGGGGGTCAGGGGTCCACTTGCGAGCAGCCTTCCTCCGGCACGGTGTTGGTGAAATTCATTTCCTCATGGTTAGGCTTGGGACACACTGCTTCTTCAGAGCCAGCAGAGGAGGGAGCCCAGCAGCGTGGGCTGCTGCCGCCGTCTTCTGTAAATATGTGCCTGTGATCACGTACAGCCCTGTGGTTAGCAGCCAGTCACGGGTCCTGTTCACACTCCAGACGGAAAGGTGTAAATGTCCGCAGGCAGCATCAGTGCGGGTAACTTCGGTCTGTCTG